TTTTTTTTTTTTTTTTTCCTTTCGTAGACACGCCACAAGCTTTTTTTTTTTTTTTTTGGGGGAAAAAATAACAGCCAAAATTTTTTTTTTTTTTTTTGGCAGGGTTTTCTTGTAAAGCTTCTCTTTCCGCTCAGCCAGAGCATGAGCAAGCAGGATTCCACCCCCGGGCACGGCTGCTCCCAAGGATGCTGGAAAATCCAGCACCTCCGCAGGCAGGGCCTTGGAAATTAAGTTTTGATGCTTTTTAGGGTTTGATTGGAGAGAAAAATCCCATGGATTTGCCAATTTGGTGGTGCAAATGGATAAATTTGGATAAATTATGGGTGCCCGTCACCCAAAGCAGCAGCATCCCACAAAATCCTGGGAATTCCTCCCAGCAACTTCATCTCCACAATAGTATTCCAAGAGTTATGAGCATGGGTGCTTTATATGGCAAAAATAATTTATACTTTAATAAATTTCTCTTTAATTAAAAAAAAAACAAACCTTGAAGACTGACACAAATCATCTTTCTAACGTTCCAATTTTCAATCCTGCGTGGTGGAATAACTCTGAAACTTGACGAAAAATTACATTTCCTGACTGCAAGCACACATTAAAACTAGATTTTAAGCCCTAAAATGTTCTTTACCACACAAAAATGAGCCCGAGCTCCTGGAAAATTTGGGGATTATGTGAAATTTCACAGCGTGAATGGACTAAACCTTCATCCTGCAGAAGAGCTGAGCTTTTATTGACCAACAGCTGCTAACAGGAAAAAGGATGGGAAATCACTTACAGGTTTTGACTGGATGAATCCGAGGCCGAGATACACAGATAGGTCATGTCCTGCAATACCAAATAAAACAGCCATGAAATACCTGCAAGAATCACAAAATCCTCCATTTCTCCCTCTTTTTTTTTTCCTTCCTCGGTTGGCCTTGAGGGGAGAAGAAAGCTGAAAACCACTTTGGGGTTTGCCATGGATGGGTGCATCCATCCCACCCTGTTGATTTCCTCTCAATCCCACAGGACAGGATTTTGGGGGGCAACTAAAATATTCAGGAACCCCCCAAAACAGAGGCAGGGAGCCCCAAATTCCGCCAGGAAGACGTGCACTGACAAAGCCACCCTCATCCATGAGTTATTTCCTCCTCGTCCTTTTAATACCCCATAAATCATCTGCTGCCTGCTGGCCGAGGTCAGATTGCTTTCCTCTCCTTAAAACATCGCTTCCTCGATCCTCCCTGTTCGGAGCTAAATTTAGATCCTTTTTATCTGAGGGTTGGGACTTTTTTTAATCTTTTCTTAGCAAAATTGAGGGGGGAAATCCTGCAGCTAGAGCGCCAGGGATTGCCCCATCTCCAGCAGGTCCCTCCTGGCTCAGGCAGCCCAAACCCCTGGACCCCTCTCCAGCCCAGGAGGTTGGAAAAATTGGATTATTTATGGAAAGAAGAGGCAGAGCGGGATGGGCACTGGGATAATTCTGTGCTGGGATGACCCACAGGGTTTCCACGCATCACCTCATCCACAGCTCCACGCCTGGTGCCATCCCAACGTCTCCCCACGCTGGGAAGAGCCACCAGGCCACTCCAAATCCACCATGGAGAAGCCAAAATGTACTAAAGACACCCCAAATCCATCGTGGAGAAGACAAAACTACCTCAAGGCACCCCAAATCCATGGTGGAGAAGCCAAAATGCTCTAAAAACACCCCAAATCCACCGTGGAGAAGCTAAAACTACTTCAAGCCAACCCAAATCCATGGTGGAGAAGCTAAAACTACCTCAAGGCCAACTAATCCACCTCGGAGAATCCAAAACCATCTCGAGGCACTCCAAATTCACTGTGGAGAAGCCAAAATGACCTTAAGGCACCCCAAATCCACCGTGGAGAAGCTAAAACCACTTCAAGACATCCCAAATCCACTGTGGAGAAGCCAAAACCACCTCAAGCACTCCAAATCCACTGTGGAGAAGCCAAAATTACCCCAAGCCACCCCAAATCCATGGTGGAGAAGACAAAACAACCTCAAGGCACCCCAAATCCACCATGGAGAAGCCAAAACCACCTCAAGGCACCCCAAAGGGTGACCCCCACCCCCAGGCCGGGATGAACCCGCGGCTCCTCACGGGGCCGGTGCCGGGTTTGCGGTCACGGCTCGGGGCCGTGATTGACACATTGCAAAACCCCCCGGGCCCTTCCGCTTCCCCTGCGGGCTCTGCTCCAGGGTGTAAACGCTGCGTGTGCTCTGCTCCGGGGTGTAGGAGCTGCGTGTGCTCTGCTCCAGGGTGTAAACGCTGCGTGTGCTCTGCTCCGGGGTGTAGGAGCTGTGTGTGCTCTGCTCCAGGGTGTAGGAGCTGCGTGTGCTCTGCTCCGGGGTGTAGGAGCTGCACGTGCTCTGCTCCGGGGTGTAGGTGCTGCATGTGCTCTGCTCCGGGGTGTAAGTGTTCTGTGCGCTTTGCTCCATGGTGTAAGCACTGTGTGTGCTTTGCTCTGGGCTGTAAGCATTCCAAGAGCTTTGCTCCATGGTATAAATGCTCTGAGCACTTTGCTCCATGATGTAAGCACTCCGAGCACTTTGCTCC